GTCTACCTCATTTCCCCTGTGATCTCTCTCCAGAGCAGTTAGTTTGAGCTTCAGGCTGGACACCTCCGTCATCAACTCCAGTTTCTGGGTCTCCAGTGCCGTCCGGTTTAACAGCTCCTGAGGATCAGTACAGTCTGATAGTAAAATAACCCTGACGAGTAGAGAATTTTCTAAAACCTTTTGAACCTCAATCAAAAATTTCAAAAGTTGCCTCATTACCTGTTGAAGTAGCTCCTCTGCAGCGTTCAGCTTCTCCCGATGAAGCTCCAGGCTTTTGTCTAAATCTCGAATCTTTTCACCTTGCACCTCCACCTGGTCTGTTAAAACGCTTACCTGCACAACGACAACATGACTTTTATGAGCACGTTTCAAAAGGATTCAAATGTGAGCATCTTGACTTCTTTGAACAAATGCTCCAGTGCACTATAACCTGCAGCTTTGAAGGAAAGAACTRGATTTTAATACGTTTAAAACAAAGATGCCGTTATAACCAGCAGCTTTTTTATTAACAAGGAATCAAAATATGTCTAGCTTTGTAACCACATTGAGATCTAAGATATAGGACACTTTTTATTAAATTAAAATTTGTTGTTTTAGACAAAAAACAATGTCTTAATTTGTTCATCTCAATCCAGAAAACTGAAAAAGAACTTTGTTTCCAGTGAACAACAGGAGGACTTCATACTTAATTGCACAGTGGAGAACAATGGTTTTGTTTTGCTGAGACAGTTTTATTCACAAACCTGAAGGATGAGACACTCTTTGTCACTCTCCAGTCGTGAAAGACGTTCTTGGTAGACCACCTCTGAGCTGTGAATGTTTGTCTGACAGAAAAACAATGTGATCATTTGTTTCAGGAAAAAAAAAAGCTTTAAACTGTCATTTCTTTTTACATAATGATAAACGAAGAAGGTCTTTATCTGTTGGGTTGAAATATACAACAAGTTTGTAATTAAACGAAAAGGATCATTTTGTAATCATGTTCTTGTACAACCACTACAATGAGCTAAAACGGAGCAATCAAGCAGCACAGACTCAGTTCTAATTCTAGGTGGAGGGTTCAAATCTATTACTTTAAAATTGCTTTCAGAATTTCAGACTTATTTTGCATAGTTTCATTTTCACAGGTTCAAAAAAACTGACAAGACAATTASAAAGTTATGAATATTCTAACTGTCCAGGCACACATCCTCAAGTTAAACCAAAGAGCAGCAAAGGAGATTTTTTTTTGTTGTTTTGTTTTGCTTTGCCTTCACGATGGCCAACTGTGTTTTTTTCTCTATAATGTAAAGGTTAGTAGTGATCTCCCACTAAAGTGATTTAAATGCAAACCTTTCTGTCAAATAATCACAATAAAGGGCAATAGGAAAATCATGAGCCTCACAGAGTCTGAATGAGTTTAAAGGATGGAAACTATCTGCAGAAAGTCCAACATTCATAAAGCTCTTCATGACTTTTACAGTAAACAAAGCCATGGTACGGGCAAGAAAATATGATGAAAAGCAGAACGGAGGATAATTAAAACAAGCTACGTATTCAAGGAACAGAGCTTATCGTTCAGAGTCCAGCTGCAAAGAAATACACATCTGCATCTATGAATACAAATATCTTCAGTAGTGTATGTG